TTTTTTTTTTTTTTTTTTGCCTGAAGACAGGCATTAGTTAGCATCAAGTGTAGAGTAGATAAAACGTAGAAAGAAAAGCCACAGTCTTAATAGGCTTTACAAACCAGAAAAAAAGAGTTTAGGGTGACCCAAGATAGAAAACAAGGTTATAAATCCCAGAAGGAAGAGACCTGGACAAGGAGCACCCCCAAATTATACTTATAAACTCTGCTCAAATCTCTGGCTGACCCTTCAAACATGCATGTGTATGGCAGACTCTAAGCAGCCTGGTTAAGGCTAAAAGAACAGCTGCTGCCCACGTTAGGGGATAGAGTTTGGAGTGTGAATTCAGAAAAGTTAACTTCCTGCTAAAACAAGTAAAAAGTTGATGTTCTTCAAAGAATTATAACAGAATTCAGTTTCTAAAGCATCATATGCAATGTCTATAACACCATCTGAAATCACTAGATCCACAAAATAACAGGAAAACATGATCATGATCAATAGAAAAGCAATTAAGAGAAACCAACCCAAGATTACTGAGAAGTTAGAATTAGAAGCTGGGGTTTATAATGTCTACAGATGTAATATGTGTGAAAACTATAGCACAAAGGATAAGCAGAGAGTAACAGATCTATATAGTTGAAATATTTCTTCATTTGCAGGGGTGTCCAACCTGCAGTCTGAGGGCTACATGCTAATTTTGTGAGGAGTTTTTTTGCTTATCTGTGGTGTCAGATATAACAAAACTATGCATAGTCTTTTTTTTTCTCTAAGCTAATCAGCTTTGTTAGTGTTTGTGTATTTACCGTGTGGCCCAAGATAACTTTTTCTCTTCCAGTGTACAACAGAAAAGAAAAAAGGTAGAATGCTCCTAAAAAAGTAATATGATACAATATAAACTCTAAGTTAAAGACTATAGAAATTTAAGGATGTGTATCTGTAACTTCTAGAGCAACTACTGAAAAAAAAATGATAGAAAGAGATAAGGCTAAAGAGCAATTAAACATTTTTTTTTTTTGAGACAGAGCCAAGCTGTCCCCCTGGGTAAAGTGCCATGGCATCACAGCTCACAGCAACCTCTAACTCCTGGACTCAAGCAAGTCTCCTGCCTCAACCTCCCAAGTAGCTGAGACCACAGGCACCCACCACAATGCCCGGCTACTTTTTTTTGTTTTTGGTTGCAGCCATCATTGTTGTTTGGCAGGCCCAGGCTGGATTCAAACTCGCCACCTTAGGTGTATGTGGCTGGCGCCTTAGCCACTTGAGCCACAGGTGCCAAGCTGCAAATAAACATATTTAAATTAAAAGCCACAATTCTCAGAATGGATTAAAAAGCAAGCCTCACAAATGATTCACTTCCAATAAAAAACCCCAGATATATCATAAATAAAAAAAAAGAAAGCAAATAGTAAATAAAAGAAGGCCAGAGTGGCTATGTTAATATCAGATAAAATGGTCTCTAAGACAAAGAACATCACCAGGAGTAAAGAGGGACATTTCAAAATGATAATAAGGATCAATTCATCAGGAATATATAAATGTATATGCACCTAAAAAACTGTTAGGACTAAAGAGAGACATACACAATTCCACAATCATAGTTGGAGATTTTAACACCCTTCTTTCTCAACAATTGATAGAATAGACCAAAAAAAAAAAAAGAAGAAGAAGAAAAGAGAGAGAGGATATGAACAATACTACCAACCACTTGGACCTAATTGATGTTTATGGATCACACATCCTAAAAATGCAGAATACACCTGCTTTTCAAGTCTATATAGTATGTTCACCAAAATAGACTATAGGTGAGACCACAAAACAAGTCTTGATTAATGTAAAAGAACTGAAACCATGCAGATATACTCTTGGACTATGACAACCTTAAATTGGACATTAACAGCTAACGTATCAGCTGGGGCAGGGAAGAAGGTATAAAATCAGCCTCCAATATCTTGCTAGAAAGTAAGAAATTGCGCCAAATGACTGGGCCATGTCACAGTATACCGGAAGCAACCTGAAGGGGGCTCCCATTGGCTAGATTTGGGACAAGTGGAACATCCAAATATAATCTGGACAGTGATGGATTACAGCCCATAAAACAAAATAGAAGTACATGAGTTTGAGGTGATAACAAATGGATGGAAAGATAATATAATGGATGGGGGGAAGGCTCTTCTTCACGGTGGAGGCTGCGAGCCACATAATAAATGTGCAGGGAGTGCTGGGGTTAGAAAATCACCATCTGAAACATCACAGTAAATACCATTGTGGGCAAAGATCATCAATGGAATAATCTAGTCTAATGAGGAATGGAATAGTTACAAGATCTTAAGTATCTCCCTACAGATCACTTATTAGTCACAAGGGGAAAATAATAACTCTAGATCAGAGAAACTGGCAACACCTTTTCTGGTTAATCAAAATGAGTATCACTAATCAGGAACCAATGAGCCCTGTGTACCCTCTGTACATCATGCCCCAGGAGGGACATGTAGTTTCTGGCCAAAAAGGCGGAATCTGACTCTGATCATAAGGAAATATCACACGAATCCAACTTTGGGGATTTTCTATAAAAGGACTGGGCCAGTACCTTCACAAATGTCAGTGTGGTGAAAAACAAAGCATGACTGAGGAACTGTCCTGGATTTAACAAGACTAAAGAGACATGATGACTACATAATATGAGCTGTGATCGCGGACTGGATCCTGCACTAGAGGAAGGTGCTATCAAGGACACAATGAATCAAGTTACAAAACTGGAATATGGACTGTGTATTAGATAAAATATCGTATCAACGTTAAATTTCCTGAATTTAGTAAGATTATGTCAAACAACATACTTGTTTATAGGAAACTCAGTAAGAAGTGGTTAAGAGCATGATGTGTGTAACTTATTGTCAAATGGTTCACAAAAAATAGAAAATAAATTTCACAGAAGGAGAAAGACAAGAACAAAAACAAAATGCTAAAAGTTAATAAGTTAGGCAACAGGCATCAAGGGCATTCTATGTATTTGTGCAACTTTTCTGTAAGTTACAAAATGAGAGGACAAACACGAGGACAAGGCAATGCAGCAAATGGAGGAGAGGTCTCCCTGCACCCTCTGTTTTCTATACGACGGCTCCAATCTTACCTGTCTTCTTTGATGACATCCACAAAATGGGCATCAGTTTTCTCCCGGATATTCTTGAATCTCAGTGGAAGAAGAGCTGACTGGTCCAAGCTCACCCCTGCCCATCTTCCCTTTTCCTGTAAGATCTCACATAGAGAAGTCTGACTGTTGGTGAGCTTCTCCTCTTGGGGAGGGCTCAGAAGTCCATTTTGAGTTTTAGAATTAGGTCCTCCAGAAGCCTGCCTCAAGACAAAGAGGGAGCAAACATTGATCGTGAAGTGGTGCAGGGGACACACCCTTATCCCCACCCCTGAGCTCTCTGCCATGCCAGGGTCTCACTGCACTGTATACTGGATGCTGTGACCTGTCTTAAGGGCCTGCACCTGCAAATCTGCTCTAAAACCAAATGCTCAGCCTCTCTGCCAGTCTGCTTCTCCCTGTTGCCCTATTTTGTCAAATGGCATCTCTGGGTATTCAGGCCACCAGAAAAGTGATATCCTGGGAAGAGCCAGCAAGGAGCTGGAGACAGAGTGAAGAGTGGAGAGTGGAGAGTGGAGTTTTAGGAGTTTGCTTACTACAAACTAGAGCTAGGGCTTAGAGGGAAGTGTGGAAGATTTGGGCACTCAGGGAAGTGTGAGGATGAGTCCAGGGAAAAGATACCCAGAGCTGTCTGGGCAGTGGCTTAGGAGGTGTGTATGAACACAGGGGCCGGCACTGTGAGTGCTGACTGTGGCTGTGAGAGATAAGGTTGACCTGAATGCGGTCCTGTGGCAGCCGATAAGAGAAGGAAGGATGGTAGAGCCCAGTCCTCCATGGGGGGTCAGCCTACACTAGACTCCTTTTTTGGAGACAGGATCTTGCTCTGTTGCCCAGACACAAGTGCCATGGCACAATCACAGCTCACTGCAACCTCAAAATCTAGGCTGAAGTGATCTTCCCACCTCAGCCTCCCAGGTAGCTGGGACTACAGATGCATGCCACTATGCCTACCTAATTTTTTTTACGTTTTGTAGAGAAAGGGGTCTTGCCATGTTAGTCGGATTAGTCTCAAGGCCTCAAGTGATCCTCCTGCCTTGGCCTCCCAACATGCTAGGATTAGACTGTGAGGCACTATGCCTGGCCTGTACAACCCTTCTTGACGGGCTCTTGGGTTTGGGCTTCATCTGTTTTTTTTTTTTTTTTTTGAGACGGAGCCTCAAGCTATCCCCCTGGGTAGAGTGCCATGGCATCACGCTCACAGCAACCTCCAACTCCTAGGCTCAAGCGAGTCTCCTGCCTCAGCCTCCCAAGCAGCTGGGACTACAGGCACCCGCCACAACACCCGGGCCTTTTTTTTTTTTTTTTGGTTGCAGCCATTATTGTTGTTTGGCGGATTTGAACCCGCCACCTTAGGTGTATGTGGCTGGTTCATCTGCTTTCAATGCCAATCCTCACCATGGTCTCAAAGTCAAAGTATTCTGGCAGCCTCCCTGCTGCTTGCCTGAACTCTGACCCTCCCTTCATGGTAATTTCTTATTCTAAAGAATCCCCTCTTCTCTTTATACATCTATATTTTACCATGTGTTGAGCCCCCAGCCCCACACATCTTTCCCAAAACACTCTAATATACACATTTTAAAAGTCTTATTGCCCATTAAGGGAGTCTCAACCAGCTCAGCACGTAAGTATTCTATTTCACATGGGTTAGTTCTGACTCTCTGTTCTTTACTGGTCTATTGAAAACCCAAAGGACTGGAAGGCATGGAACAATGTTACCTAAGAGGAGTTATTCCCAGAACTAAGAAGTTGACAAGACAGGAATGTCACCTTAGGTGGATGCGCCAGGAGAGGAACTGACAGGAACAACAGCCATGAGCTTGTTACCTTGGTGCTGTTTTTATGCTCATCTTGACAGCCATTTTGGACGGCTCCTCCTTCTGCACCAGCTTCAGATTTTGGAGCAAATGTGATTCCACATGAAGGGCAGGTCTACAAGAAAAACACAGACCATAGAAATATACCCAGAAAACACAATCATGACACATACTTCAAATGAGTCCGATGCTATTTCGATTTGCCGTCACACAGGATGGTGGTGGCCAGTGAAAGGCTTACTGAACCACTCTGGGATGAGCTAAAAACAAACTGGCAAAGTGGAAACAAAAAAACCTGTGCACAAACACACAGCAGCATTATCACACACAGCAGCATTATCCATGACGGCCAAAAAGAGTAAGACTCAAATGTCTGCTGCCTGCTGAATGGATCGGTTGTGGCCTAGCCCTATCCATACAATGGAATATTATTCAGCCATAAAGAATATAACATAGACATATGCTACAATGGGGATGAACCTGGCAAACTTTACGCTTAGTAAAGGAAGTCAGACTCACAAGGCCACATATTGTGTGATACTATCCAATCCATATGAAATGTCCAGGAAAGGCAAATCCAAAAACAGAATGCAGGTTACTGGTGGCCAGCAGTGAGGTGAATAGGACGTGGTGGGGGACAGCTGATGGATGTGGGGTTTTCTGTGGGCTGATTGTGTCTCCCCAAATTCAGTTGCTGAAATCTTAACTCCCAAGGTAATGGTATTAGGAGAGGCAATGGTATTAAAAGGTAGGCCTTCTGGGAAGTGATTAGGTCATGGGGTAGAGCCTTCATGTATGGGATTAGTGCCCCCCATAAAAGAGGTCCCAAAAAAATCTCCTACCCCTTCCACCCTGTGAAAAGGAGCCATCTATGAAGAAGGAGCAGGCCCCTCAATGGACACCGACTCTCATGGGACCTTGATCTTGGACTTCTTAGCCTCCAGGACTGTGAGAGATAACATTCTGTTGTTTACAAGCCATCTAGTTTGTGGTATTTTGTTAAAGCAGCTGGAATGAACTAAGAGTTTCTTTCTGGGGTGATGAAAATGTTTTAAAAATGACTATGGTGATGATTGCACAACCTTGCAAATATATTGAAAACCAATGAACTGTATAATTTAAAAGAATCAATTTTATGGAATGTGAATTAGATTTAATAATGCTGCTATGAAGTAAACAAACTGACCACAAACCTATTCTAGGACACTAATCCAAGGTTTTTGAGTTCTGTGTGATGAGCTACTCTCATGACACAGGCTGAATAATCAGAGGTCTGTGTTTCAAGGTTATTTCAAGGTCTTGAGATGTAGGAAATCTTAAAAATGTATAGCCATTACATGATCTAGAAAAGAGAAGGCAAGACTTAACACTGACCGGTATAGCAGAAAGAGCAAAAGTTTTCATTTCTCACAAATGGGGGTTCAAATTGAATACGTTCAATTACTTACTAATTTGAAGACCCCAATCAAATCACTTTACCTCAGTTCCCTCATCTGTAAAATGATAGTGATAATACTTTTCTTGAAGACAAATTGTAAGAATTAAATGAAGTATGTACACAGCCTAACATAGTTCCTGGCACACTATCTCCTGAATAAGCTTATTATTGTTATTAATATGGTCCAGTGCCCTAGGAATTGTCATTAAGATAGACTAACAGTTTCCAATGAAGACAAACTGCAGCAGGAGAGATATTTTAGGACTCAAAAGCAATTTCCTTGCAGTAAGAATTATTAGACACAGGAATACGGCATAGGTATTATACTGGAAATTTAAAATAACTATCACTTGCCACCTGAGGGCAAAGATATGAACCAGATCACATTTCAAGTTAGATCTTTGGGTAAAAGAAGTAAGGATTCAAAAGAGCTGTGTAGTTTGGAGATCTGATATAATGCACAAACCAGATTTGAAAGTTTATATTCATTCAGAAAATGACATATACAAACCAAAACAGCTATCAAAATCATTACCTGTGAAAATAGTGGCACTTAGGTAAAATCTGCTTACAGTTAAAAACTGACATTATTAACAGAGGTAAAAGTTCTATTTGTCCGTATAATACAGCAAAACTATTTTAAAGTACTTTTTGATATTGACTGAGTCAAATTTCAAAATATCTTGCCAATGAGGCTACTGATATCAAATGAAGAAAAAGTCCAATACCTAAGCACACAGAGGGACCCTCCAAGCCCTCAGTGGAAGAGTAACATGAATGTGCCCAACAGGATGTGCAAAAGAGCTGTCCAGTGGGGTCAGAGGTAGCCTGCTCCTAGAAGGGGCAACTGGTAGACAGGTAAGGGAGTACAGACAGCTCGGTGTTGGGGACAGGCTGACATTATGGTTTGAGAGATGCCAATCTGGGTCAAACCTTTGGAATCCAGGAATTTTCACCAACCTTAGAAAAACAGTAGGCAGCTATTTCTCTCACCACTTTTTAAGCATTAAGACTAGAGGAGGACTGGTACAGTGGCTCATACCTATAATCCCAACAATATGAGAGGCTAAGATGGGAGGATCCCTTGAGACCATCAGGTCAAGACCCACCTGGGCAACACAGCAAGACCCCATCTCTAGGCAAGTTTGCAACCTCATCTTGGGAAATCCTCCATCAAAGGTTTATGGGAGGAAGCGAGGAGGGGAAGATTCGTGGAGGGAGGGTGATTGGTGGGACCACACCTATGGTTCATCTTACAAGGGTACATGTGAATCTTTCTAAATGTAGAATATAAATGTCTTAACACAATAACTAAGAAAATGCCATGAAGGCTATGTTAACCAGTTT